CACTCTGTCTCTGGTGAATCCTTTCACCCTTTCCACCTCTGGGCTACCCCCCAATTCTTATATGCCTAAATAAATAGTAGTGGACTAGTAATAGTTTGGGTGAGAAGTACTAACACAACACAGAAAACCCTGAAACTAAATCAAAAATTTGACAGAGGACGTTTGAAGAAGACCTTGAAATAGTTCAACTTGTCAGTAACTGATATATCTGTTCACCAATGGTTGCAAAGGGAAGGAGGCAGCTTAGTTCTCACTCTGGGGTCTGTGAGATCTGTCAACTATTTCAGTATATAAAATACCTAGTAGAAGTGAATGTTGGATACAGTCAACATCTACTGAATATGGGAAGTAAGTGAAAGTTTTTTTAAAAAGTAGGAAAATATTACATCATGAATGCAATTTTGTAAAAATGAGTCTCAAAAGAGTATCTTCATTCTGGCTGTTGTAACAAATTACCATATACTAGATATAGGCAAACAAAAGAAATTTTGTTCAGCAGTCAGAGAGAGGTAGGAGCCAGGAGCCCTACATGGCCTGGGTCCTGGGCAGGTGCCCCAGCCCACCCTTACAGCCTCACCTTCAGGTAGGGGCTTGTGGCTGGGGCTCAGGCCAAGGTAGGGTTCCTCCTCTGGACTGACCCCCCCCACACCCTTCAGTCAGATCAATGTAAAGCATCAGTAACTCAGTCACCCCCACTGCAGACCTCCAGGAGGTGAGAGGGACAAACCTAAGCCCTGGATGCAGTTGCCTTCTGGGGAAGACACAAATACAACCTGGTCAGAACCACAGAAATAAGACTGTGGGACCAGCTGATATGGTGTCCTCTCACAAGAACTCCATCTACAATATCTTCTGGAAACCAAACCCCAATATGAATGAGGCTACTTCCTTTTCCAACTAGAGGAGAAAATGCAGAAATCAGAAAGTAACTGGAGATCCAGGACTGGAAACGACAAAAGAAGAGAGGAGCAGGACCAACCATATGCAGGACAATGTCCCCACTGGGAAACTTCCCCACCAACAACGGCTGGGAATTGGGTTCCCAAAGCCAGAATTGTGACTTAGAAGCATCAAATCCTAGTCATCGGAGAGGATGGGGCAATCAGTGTGACTGAGGAAGCATGGAACCCGGAGACCACACTGGTGTGGAGGGAATGGGACAGTCTTCTGTACTATAGGAAGTCCCCAAACAAGAAGCCTAGAGAACCACTCCTGGGGGTCTGAGCCGTCTGGTTTGCTGCAGTCCAGAAGCCCAGGTCCTTGCTCAGGAAAATGACAAAATTTGTGGGTCCATTGAACTAAGGCACACAGCGAGGGAAGAGTAGGAGTGGTCAGGATGGGAGAGAGGGCAGGAGATGCGGGGGAACCAGGTGGTGACTGGGGTGGAATATAGGTGGGAGGGCTGCATCTAAGGGGAACAATAACTATACAGGTGGTAGAAACCTGCCAGGCTGCTGCCCTGTGGAGTTTGGACTCGAGTCAGCGGCATCAGTTAGTTCTTCCCTCAATTTCCAACTCATCTGCCTGTCCTACAGCTTCTAGACTTGCCAGCAACCACAATCCTGTGAGCTAATTCCTAAAAGTAAATCTGTCCTCTGTTTTCCTTTCTCTGAGAACAAGTTCTAGAAGGAGAGAAAGACGGGGTGGGAGAAGGTTGATTTAGTTTAAAGAATAAAATAACATGTATGTGAGTGCATGTATATAATATACACACGTATAGATGTTGTGGTGTTGCTTTCATTCATCAATGTCCACACACCAGCATTCAGGTCAAGAAACAGCATCACTAGTCCCAGAAGCACAGCTCTTGCTCCATCTCCCCTTTCTAAAAGCATAGATGCATTTATCTCTGTTGGGTCCTTTGCCTGGACAGACCTCCCCACCTCCCAAACAGAATCATATGCACACTGTTGTGTGGAAACAAAGAATGAGCCATGGGTGCTGGAACAGAAAAACAGGAGGCAGGAAGTGTTCCTGCCTTGTGTTTGCTACCTTGTGTTCTTTGACCCCCATGTTATTGTCGCATGTTATTGATGCACTTGCTGAGAGCTTCCGCCTACCCCCAGCCCCAGGCTCCAGGCTGAAGGGGATAAATAGGGAAGGAGAGAAAAATAAAGTGTGCCTTTGCTTGCTGACCAAGGAGTGTGTGCTTTAATCCTGACGTCCTTCGCTCAGACCATCTCTGCTGTCCTGCTGGCGCGGCAATCTCCCTTTTACCCTGGAGAATCTAACACAGTGGTTAGCTTACAATTTGTTTCCATTGGTTTTGTGTCTTTGCCACTTCCCTCATACCTCTTCTTTTCAATTCAGTTTTTTTTTAAGATTTATTTATTTATGCATACAGAACTGGGGTACAGGCCAGAAGTGCAGGGGCAGTGAGAGGATTCACTAGAGACAGAGGGAGCAGAACAGGCTGACTGGAGAAGTTCACTGCTGAGGGGAGCAGCGGGCGGGTCAGGAGAGGTCTGCTGCACCTTGGTCACGTCCGAGGCGGGGATCGAACTCATGCTGAAGTGGTTTAGCTTCTTAGTGCTGTGCTTTAACCCGCAGAGCCACCAGGAAGGGCCCTCAATTCAGATTTTTAAAGATTTGACTGTTTGTTTTGAAGCTAGACCCCCTTCCTCTTGCATGCAAGCTCTTTCTCTCATCTTTTCTAGTACCAATTATTACCCTATCAAATGGCCATCAACAGATTTCCCAATCCCAACTCTGTCTTTCCTGCTGCTCTTGACTAACATCCATTCAAACAGCACTTAGACTACAGAGTGATAGTTGTGTGCTTTGGGAATAACATGTTGAAAACTTCACAAGCCTGACCCCAATCTCACACCTCCACCCCCCATGCTGCTCAGCTAGTAGGTGAGGTAGGCAGGCAAAGAGTTGGCAGGAAGTGAGGTAAGTGGTACAGGAGGGCATGATCTTGGCGGGACAAGGTGTTGTTGAGGAAAGTAAAGGAGGAGGCCAGCCCTGCCACTGGGATGGATGAAACCACATTATTTCACACCTCAGGATTTGTGTATTCCTTTCCGAAAGAAGAAAGTGCCATGGAAGAGCAGAGTTAGGGACCATGAGACCAAAGCAAAGAAAGAAAGTACTGGGAGCAACATAGAAAAGAAAAAAAGAAGGGTCAATCGGTAGGTTAGCACTGTGCTAGGTACTGAGGAAGACACTAGAATCTCAAAATGGGTCAAGTCCTTATCTTCAAACTCGTAGTTTAAAACAAGCTGAACAGCTCTCACCAGAATATTCTTCCCCTAGGTAGATGCCCTTACAGCTCACTCCCTCAAGGCTTTGTTCAGCTGTCACCTCATCTACAGGCTGATCACACCCACTGATAGAGAATAGCAGACCCACCAACAGCCTTCTTTATCCTCTCACTCTGTTCAAGTATAATATACATGCAGAGAAATTTCATGTATCCTAAGTGTGTAGCCATCTACATTTTAAAAAAGTGAACACAGACAATGCCAGCTTCTGGGTCAAGAAACATTTCCAGCCCCAGAAACACCTTCCATCCCCCACGGATAACCACCAGCCTGATTTATAACAGCATAGCTTAGTTTTGCCTGGTTTTATACTTTACATAAATGGAGTCATACATACTATACTGTTGCGATTTACATCTTTCATGGAACATCAAGTTTGTGTGATTCAGTTGTGCTGCTGTGTGTTGTTCAGTCCATTCTCATTGTCATACAGTGTTCTGTTTTGTGAAAGTGGCACAGTTTATTTATCCATTCAACCATAGTGGGCACTGAGTAGTTTCCGGTTTTGACTTACTAGGCAGCTGGCCATCCACCTCTTTGTGGAGAGGACCCGCCTGTTCAAGCCTCCCAAGAAAGTCTGATATTTTGGGAAAAAGGCAGGGAAGAATGCCCAAACTGACCATCAACTTCTGCGTGGAGGGGTGGTCCCTACGTCAAATGCCCCTTAAGTGCCACATGCTTAAGGGATGCTTTAATGTGCTAGCTTGAGAAACTGTGGGAAGCAATCTGACAAACCAGAAAGTGTGTTGGTCTCCGCTTGAGCCAGTTTGGCTGGCTACTGACCAGGGGGCCAGGGAGTATGTGGCAGTTTCAGGTTACACCTCTGTTGTAACCCAACATAAGTTCTTTCCACTTTGGGGCTCTTATGACTAATGCTGCTATAATCATTTGTGTAAAAGTTTTTGTGTGAATCTATTTTCAGTTCTCTTGGATATGAATCTAGAAGTGGAATTACTAAATCATAGAGTAACTGTTTGAATAGTCATCAGACTATTCCTTAGCAGCTGCCCACTTTACATTCCCACCAGCAATGTGTGAGGAAGCCAACTTCTCTCTACCCTTCCCAAGTACTTACTGCTTTATTTCTAGATTCACCCTTTTCACCTCATCAACACTACTTCAGTCACATTACTATTGCAACAGGTCTAGAAACAAACTTTTTTTTTTCTATGTGACATTCATTTGTAGTTAAGAATGTCTAAATTTCCGATTTTTCCTGACGAAAATATTTAGTACTGCAGCTGCATTGGTTAGTGTGGCAACCGAGACTTAGTTCATCGTCACTCCTTTCCTCGCTTAATTCCGGACTAACCACTTCGGGAACACATCCGGATCTTGAACAGAAAGCAGCGTTTTAGAAGGTTAAAGGTAGTATTTGGACAGTTCTTCACATGCATTTTGCGTCGTTCACTTTATTCTCTCCTTTCGGATAAAGTCATCTGAAGTCCAGTACGCAACCGGACTGCGGGCTCGTGAGCAGTTTAAGCCCAGCACCCACTGCACACCGCACTCGTACGCGCGGAGGAAGCGGACTCAGCCCACATTTCCTCCCACACCAGCGCCCTCTCCAGAGTTCCCCATGTTGAGGGGCGGGGAAGATTGTCTCACTGAGTGACAATCTCACTCGCGCGCGTCTTCCGGAAGCGACGCTCCGCACTGGCAGATTAAATCTAATGACGTAGCCGTGCTCCAATCCGAACCCTGAGGGCGGGGCTAAGCCCTCCGGCGCACGACCGGAGAGCGGCGCTGGAAGCACGTGACCTGGATTCGGAGCCGGAAGCTACCGCTCTGGTAGGAGCGCCCCCCAGCACCTACGGCTGCGATGGTGAGTGAGGACGCATGCGCCGGAGTTCGCGTAGGGGTTCAACATCCCTGCTCCCCAATGTTTTTGGTCGCCCTGTCTTGGACCTGCACTCCAACCCGTCCCGGGGTGGAGAGGGAAGGCAGCCAAAGGGTTGCCGCGTAGAAGCCTGAGGAGGGAATCTGTGGGCGGGTGTACCGGTTTTTTTGTGGGGCGGGGGGTAGCCTGTGGGGGCGGGGCTGGCCACTAGGTGAGTTGGAGACCGCGCTGGGTGGGGAGGGGCCAGTGGGGTAGCAAAGGTGGGAGGTTGAAGGCCTGGGAACCAGAGAAAGAAGGATCAGTGCTGACGGCCACGTAGAGAGTAGCGTCTGGAAGGTTTGGGTTGGAGAAAAAGGCTTGGGGACGCAAAGGTTTGATGATATAAGTGTAGGGTACCGAGGACCATTCTCCCAGCTTGCTTCTCATTCTGCATCTTTACCCTCTAGACTTCTGCACTGACACAGGGGCTGGAGCGAATCCCAGACCAGCTGGGCTACCTGGTGCTGAGTGAAGGCGCAGTGCTAGCGGTGCGTTCGGGAAAGGGAGGGGGACCCCAAGTACTCAGGCCCGGAGATCCCTTCCAGTAGGGCCCACTTTCGCCTATTTAGTCTCTATTCTCAGCCTTTACCTAATGTCATGCATAACATGGTAAGCTTTTGGGAAGTAAACCTCTGGACTCAGTCGCCTAACTTCTGAGGTAAGAGGTTTGCTGACTTTACCAAAGTTACATAATTAACTGTAGGTTTGTGGATAACTGAGGTTACCCAAGTTATTCTTGGTATTTGTAGAAGAGGCTTTGTATTTTGTTCCTTAGAACAATATGTTAAGCTAAGTTTTCCATCTACAGAAACAAGGCATAAGGTTAAAGGTGGAAAGCAATGAGCCTAGTAAAGGAAGCTGAGAGGCCAGGAAATGAAAGACTTTCACATGTTAACTTTTGTCACAGGGAAACTTTTTTGGAGGTGAGAATTAAACTGGGCTTAAGGGATTGGAACAGACTGAAAGGAGAGTATTCAGGGCTGGGAGGTGTTACTTGCAGAGTGCCACACCAGCCTTTCTGAATTGGTGGTGGGCTTATTAGAAAGGTTTAGAAAGGTTTGGGAGTGGGGGAGGGAGGAGGTTAGAAACATACATGGCAACGATAGCTGACTGTGGGACTTTAAAAGCTCAGTTGCACATTTGGATTAATGTTGAGGAAAATAGGAGCTTTGAAGGTTTTTTGAACAGAAACATGAATTGATGAAGCAGTTGAGAGCCTGATCTATCGTGTGTGAGAATGGGCCAGAGTAGGATTCAGGAGGCTGCTATCAAAATCTAGATTGGGCTGGAGGTCATCCAAAGGAGTAAGGAGAGAAAGGATTTTAAAGGAAGAATCAGTGTGTGTTGGTAGTGAATGACTGGATATTGAAAATAGAGCAGATATTCTCCACCAAGACTTTGAACTCAAGCCTATATAGATGGAGCCTTAACAGGAAATTAAGTTGAACAGGGAGATAAGGGGATATGTGATGGTTTGACTTTATAGACAGTGAGTTTGATATAGAATAGCCATTAGTACCTATTGCTAGGTGCTGTCCTATGGATCTCACCAGTGTTACTGACATAATTGGTCCATAAGGTTTCCCCAGTTCAGATACTGTTGTCACCAATTTACAAATGAGAAAACTGAGGAACAGAATATCCAAGAGGAAAGGTTAGGTTCACCTAACCTGGTAGGAGGCCCATACTGAGGAGGTAGGAAGTTGAGATAGTCACAGAAAAGAGGAATGCCAAGGCAAGATGACATTACCCCATGCAGTAGAGAGGGGCTTAAAGGAAAGATGTTTGTTTCAGACTCTGCAAGACATATGGGAAAACTGAGAAAAAGATGGGACCGTGAACAATTCAGTGGTGGGTGGGCAGTGTATGTGAGGATATGTTTTCATCAGATAAGTGGAAGATGGGAAGAAATCAAGATGCAAGGGTTTAAGGGAAAACGGTTGATAAAGAAATGGGTGAGTCACCATGTCTGGGGGAAGTCTAGTGTCACAAGGACAGTAAACCCAATGGTTAACATCACAAATGAGTTTCAGACTTTCCCAAAATAGGGGTGATCTGGACATACTGGAAAGTAGAAAGGGGGAAGATTACAAATGCTAGATCCAAAGACTTGGAATCTTTCCCCAATTCTGTGCCCTAATTTCTGACATTTCCCCTCCGCCATCTACATGCAGTCATCTGGTGATCTAGAGAATGACGAACAGGCAGCCAGCGCCATCTCTGAGCTGGTCAGCACTGCCTGCGGTTTCCGGCTGCACCACGGCATGAGCACACCCTTCAAACGTCTGTCCGGTGAGCCCCAGCCCCTGCCTTTGTGGTGGCCAGAGGAGGGGTGCTTCCAGAGGCATCCTACCCGTCCCCCATCTCCAGGGGGTCCCTGGTTCTGGCCATTATCTTCCCTTTGGGATTCACCCCTGCATCAGAATAATGGCAGAGAAAGAGAAGGGGATTTTACGGAGGACCCTGCACCCCCATCTTCAGTTCTCTGAGACTTGAACTGTAAATTTCTTTGGCTTTTGGTCCCAGCCAGTTTGTGTGACACTCGCTAACTTTTTACTCCCTTCCCTCTTCCTGGGTTCGGGGGAAGGTGTGTCTACCCCACAGTGGTCTTTGGAGAACACACGTTGCTGGTGACCGTGTCAGGACAGAGGGTGTTTGTGGTGAAGAGGCAGAATCGAGGCCGGGAGCCCATTGACGTCTGAGCCTGCCAGAGGGTCAGGGCAGAAGTGGAGCAGGGTCATGAGCCTCTGAGGGTGAAGATGCACGCCTCCTCCACCTTTCTCTGCTTGCTGCTAGAACTAAGGCTTTTGTTCACCCACTTCACCCCATTTCCCTATCAGGAAGAGGCTTAGGACTCCATGCTATGTTAAGGAGAATGAGTTCATAGGAACCTTTCTCTTTTCTCCCTCCCTTCTAATAAACATGAATCTTATGTTCCCAAGCTTAGGGATGTGTGTAATTTGGAGGGTGAGAGTTTCACTCCATCCTGTGTTCTGCCTTTAGAGAGAAAATTGTATACTTGGGCCCAGAGGCATGGCAAGGCCACTCTGGGCATATAAAACTGAGATTAAAAAAAAAAAAAAAAGTGTGAGAAGGGAGCTAGTTGTGGGATTCTGAAACCTGTGAGTCTCATCAGCTCCTGCCAACAGCACACAGACAACAGTCGCTCTTCTCCCTCCTGAACAGGCATTTAATAGTCTTATTTCAGTTGGAAGCAGTAGATGGAGAATAAGTTACAAGAACAGGTAGACACACACACAAAAAATCCCACACAACTTAAAGTGCTTCAGACTGCAAACGTAAACATGAGGGGCAGGAGGAGGCCACCTAGCTATCTCCTCTGACCCCTGAGACAGGAGGGTCATTGTCGGGGTCCCTTTACCAGCACCACCCTCTAATCTCAGCCCTGCGGGTGGGTGGGTGGGAGGGAGGGAATGCCAGAGGCTGGAAAGACAACTTAATAGGAATGAGGAAAACACTTTGTAAACTTAGAACCAGGGTAAAGGTGGGGGGGGTGGGTGGGCAAGGGAGCTCTTAGAGACCTTGCCCTGGCCAAGGGGTGGGGCCAGCCCCCCCCAGGACATTGGGGAAATACTGTTGGCTTAGTGCTGCAGCCATACCCGCCCATTTCACAGCTTCGTCCCTCGTTCCTCATCAGCAGACACAGACAGGCAGCCCTATTGGGCCTCCTCACCCATGGTGGGAGGCATCTAGGGGAGGCACAGCCTGGAGGGAGAACCCCCCTAGGGGGGGCTTTTAATTTCTGGAAGTGCAAGAGGGAAGAGCGTCAGCACGAGGCTACTTGACAGGCTCCACCACCAGGACCTTGCACTCGCGCTTGGCAATCTTGTCCAGAGAGAGCACAGCCTTGTCCGGAGGCAGGTAGAGGGGGCGGCCAACAGGAGAGGCCACAGGGGGCGTGATGGCCCTGCGCTCCATCACACTGCCTGACCTGGAAAAGCAGAGGCTGTGGGCGCCAGCCCCACCCCAAATCCCCTCCAGCTCCCTCTCCAGTTCCGGTTTCTGTGAGGTCCTCAGACACCCCTCCCCAAGGCTCCCTACCTCATGAGGTGGCTGCGGGAGGGCTGTTGGTGAGAGAAGGACTGAGAGCGGCCCAGGCTAGCCTGGTGCCTCTCCACCAAGTCCCGGACAGCAGGGCTGCTAGGGCTGCTCTTCCGGGAGAGGGGCCGGGCCTCAGGCGGAGGGTGGGACACGCTGGCGGTGAACTGCAGCTTCAGTTTCATGTGCTGGCTCAGCTGGGTGGGAGACACAGAGAGCACTCCAGCAGGGTCTTCAGGTGCCAGACCTCCTTTCACAGCATCCTTCCCACTGACAGGCCCTCTCAGACCTACATCCTGCCTTCCCTTGACCCAATATGGCAGTGCAAGTTCCCAGCCCTGTGTCACCCACCACACTACCCAGCCCAGCTCTCTCAGAGCCCACCTCAAAAAGCCCCGTCCTTAGAGCCTGGAAGGCCACACTGAAGGTGAGTGCACTGCCCTTCCGGGAGAAGCCGAGGTTGTTGAGGGGTGTGTGGCAGACAATGGAGTCCAGGGCTGCCTGCATGGCCCGACGCTCCTCCTCACACAGCTGTTTTCCTGGGGGGCAGAAACAGTGACTGGTAAACAGCAGCACTGTGTTCCTCAGCTCACAAAGGGCTTTCAGGGAACAGTCTCATTTGCTCCTCAAAACATACACTGAGTATATGTTACCTTTTACTGAATTTCATAAATAACAGCTAATATGTACTGTGGGCTGAGACAGAACTTAACATCACATCTATTAACTCATTAAGTGGCCAGAACAACCCCATGAGGATTTTAGCACTGAGAAACTAAGGCTTGGAGAGCTTAAGTAACTTCCAACTTCACACAGCTACTAAATAACAAAGCAATAAAAGTCAAAACATATCAGGGAGCCCACTTCCTTTGTAAAGTCTCCACCTGTGATGCTATGGAACCATCCAGCCTCAGAGCCTGCCTGTCCCCTTCTTTAGGACAGGGTCGCAGCCTTGCTGCCAGCCTACCAGCCTGTGCATGTTCTGGGGTCCACACAAGCCTCACGGCAAGGAAGTCTTGGAGATTGTTGAGCAGTGTGTAGGTGACAGTGAAACGCTCATAGGTCCGAACAGGGGACTCGCAAGAAGCAGTCATCACAAAGCACGGGCGGTCCAGGCGGATGCTGGGCAGGCTAGAAGTGGGGGTGGGGGAAGCAGGATGTGTGTTTCAAAACAAAAGATGAACAGCATGGTGTCCCCTGGGGTATCCATAAACCTACCGGTAGTGGGTGTAGATACTCTGTGTAAAGGGCAGTTTCGGGGTTGACCACTGAACCACAGCAATCAAGGGTACTTCTAGGCCCTGCAGGAGGGACAAAGGATGAGGTAGCCACTCATCTTTAGTTGACCCGTGACTTTTCTCTCACACTTCCCTTTTTCTTATTCTTTTCTTTAAAATTTAACTGCCCTTTATACTCACCTCCTTCGCCCCTGGAGGGGGCTGCTCACCCCCTCTCAGTTGAAACAGGAAGTTGTGTTCCTCCAGGGCATTGAGCGGGCAGGGGAAGCAACCAGAGGTACTGGGGAGCCGGCAGAAGGAGCCCATGGAGACTTCCCCAGATTGGTGACTAGTTCGGAAGAAGGGAGACAGAGCTTGATTTTGCCCTGCCCTGCCCCATCCCCACCACTTGCACCCCCGCCCCTCCCCACGACCTCACCAGACATTGTCCACCAGCAGCACAGAGCCATCGGGCATGACAGGTAGATAACTGGCATTGAAGTTTGGGAGAATGCGGATATCCCAGATGGAAATTTCCTCCTGGGAGGAGCTGTTCAGCACTGTTGGAGGTAATCAGCCCAGCTCAGATTATTTGGACCTGTCAGTTCCCACCTTTACCCTACAAACGACCTCCTCACCAGCCTGCCCAAGAAACTGCCACTCAGTCAATGCCCTTGCTGCTACCCAAGACCTGAGTTGGTGCACTCGCTCACCCTTGAGAACGGTCAAGTGTTTTCCAGCCACAGTGAACTGGCGGCATTTCAGAACCGGAGGGGGCAGCAGAGTCAGCAGGGTGCTCACTGCAGGAGAGGACAGCAGGGACAGGAAATGAAGGGTTGGCACAGGCCTCATCTACCCAATTTGATACTTGCCAGTGCCATCCCTCATCCTACCCCCCATATTCCACAACCTAGCATCTCTATGCATTCTCCTCCCTACCTTGGGCCTTGAAAGCATTCTGCTCTCCACGGAAGGTCTCTCCAGGGGATCGGGTTTGCAGCAATCGAAGGTAGCCTTGATCTCTGACTTCTGGTGCTTCAACCTCCCGCTTCCAGACGGTCACGACAATCTGAGCACAGGAGACAGGAGTACATTCAAGAGGAGGCCAGAGCTAGCCAAGTCTTAGAAAGGGAGTATGAACAGGGTGACAGCACCCTTGCCAATCTTACCTTGGCTTTGGGTGTCCCTGGGGGAAGTCTATCCAGTGAAACGGTGAGTGGGAAGATGACCTCATCTGTGGACACAATTGGTTCCTCCACAGGCAGCTAGGGTTGTGAAAAGGGTGAAGAGTTCAGAAGAAAAGCCAAAAAGGTGCCATTGGCACTCTCTCTAAGACCTGCAGAACATGGCTCTCTGCTTCAGGCCCCCTAGACCAACCCCCTCATGTCTTTGGAGCCCAACAACTCCCCCTCCCCCTTTGCCCTGTGTCGTACCACCCCAGGTTCCTCACCGTGGTCGCTCCCCCTGAGGTAGCAGGGCTGGGGCCATGGGTAAGGAGGGGGCTGCATCCTCGGAACAAACCCCCACCACCAGGATCTCCGCCCCCTGGGGGTTCGGGATCCTGGTCGTTGGGGCCACTGCCCCCAGGAGCCACGCCTCCGGCGCTGACCGAGGCCAGAGCAGCCAGGGCAGTTGCCAGTTCTGTCCAGGCCCCTCGGGAACCCGAGCCAGAGCCGCCCCCGACACCGGACCCCGCGCCGCCCCTGCAGCGCAGCACCAACAGGAAGCGGACAGTCTCCCCCAGGTAGAGATGGTTGCGCCGGGGCAGCGCCCGGTACCGGCCCGGGTCCCCTGCTAGCTCCGCGCGCGGCGGCAGCGGCACAGCCGGGAAGTACATCGAGTAGTCGCACTGGGACTCCATGGGGCGGCAAGGATGGTGCGGGCCGGGGGCAGGGCGGGCCGGCGAGGGCGAGGGAGCCCGCTGGCTGGGATCCGGGGAGTCCCAACCCCCGACGGGTGTCACGCGTGCCCGGGCCGGCCCCAGAGACCAACCGGGTCGGGGAACCGGGGCAACGAACCCGGAACCGAGACCCCGCGGCCCGGAACCCGGGTGCGGGCCGAATGACTGGCGAGAAGCCGGAAGCGGAAGGGAAGGGGCGTGGCCTCTGAGGCCCCGGAATTTGTGGATGACCGGACCGCGGAGGAGAGGGGCGGGGTCCGCTCTGCTGCAGCAAGGATTGAGGAGCGACTCCACACAGGCTTAGAGAACTGTTGAAAGAACTTCACCCCACTGCACTTCTTCCAGGAAGATGCTCCATCCCCTTCCTTCCCCTCCCCACAAAAAGCAAGAGGAAGTTTCAAATTATTTATTCTTTCATTCAACAAACATTTTCGTAGTGAAATGAGCACAGCCCAGTAACAAATATTTCAAAGGAATGGCTGCTTCGTTCCAGTCCTCTGCGCCCCAGACTTTCACTGGCTTACCCAGGGTTTGCTCCTCCAGGAGGTGTTGGGTTCACTGCACAGGCGTGCCCTGAGGCTGGACTAGGGAATGGGCAAAATGGGTGGGGGGAGGCGGCACTGCTAGTAGCTGAAACTAGGACTCTAGCTGAGGCTGGAGAATTTGTGCCTACAGCCATGCAAAGTACATCTGTCATCTAAGGTGCAGACAGTTCTCTCTGAGGGAAGCAGAAAGGCATCTGACTTCTGTGCTCATCGCACTTAACCTCCTAGTTAACTGTTCTTCAACCTCAGGCTTAATGTGAGACCTACGGGGAGAGTATTCTTACAGTCTTGAGGGGCACAGAAACTGTTGGGGGGAACTGCTTGGCATCTAGCTTGTCTTTGTACTGCAATTCAGGGGTAGCCAGGCGTTCACACTCCTCCCGGTCTTGGAGGCTCAGTCCACTCTGAAGTACATAGCCCAAAACCTTCCCTGACCCAAACTGGAAAGGGCGAAACCTTCGGTCAGTGATGTATTTAGGGTCCAGTGCCTCACCCCCCACCAGACAATGTTTAGCCAGGGCCTCCCTTCGTGCTCGCAGCTCTGCCACAGCGCTCTCTAGTCGACTTTGGCCATATTGCTTTATCCGTGCCCACAGACTGTGGTTGAAATGAACATAGAGAGCCCAGTCCAGGTTGTTCCAGGCTCGGGCTCGTGCAGTCAGCTGCCTCTCTTCAGTAGCCAGTCCACCATCCCTGACAGTGCCAACGTCCTGCTTATCTCCAGCCTGGGCATTGTGCATGAAGCCCACCACATCATCTAGACCCCAGCACAGGGCATCTGCCAGCAGAACCAATGATTCATCAAAATACTCGGCTACCAAGACCAGGTCAAATACAGAGTCCAGCCAGGCCAGACTCCACTGGATGAAGGAGGAAGACCCCAGAGTGGCAGGGCTGGACATCTGGCTGTGACCATCAGCAATAGTGGGAGAAGGATGGAAGAGAGCATTGGAATCCGGGGTGTGAACTTGGGAGCCAGTGCCAGGAGACAAGACATGCAGCTTTGAGGAGCTGGGGTCTCTTGGGGGATGAAGATTCCCTCTTTTTGTCTTCATCTCTGGGGGGAAGGGAAGGCCAAAGTCAAACCACAGCAAGTTGCGTGCGTAGTGATCTCCACGGGCCCCTGGCCGATAGAAGGCCCGAGGGTTGGCCAGGAAGGCAGCCAAGGATGGTGCCTTGCGAAAGGCTGATGAGGTGGATTTATAGTAGGAGAAGGCAGAGTGGGCCAGAGCTGCTGGGTCTCGGACAATGGAAAAGAAGAAGCTGTCAGAAGGCATAACCTGAAGTACCTGCAGAGGTGAGAAAAAAAGACATAGGGAGAAAGAACTGGGCCAGGAATAAGAGCAAGGCAAGTGTCTGCTGATATCCCAGCCTCCTCAGTCCCATCAACTCTGCTGAGAACCCTCTGCTTCCTTCTCTAGCTGCATAGTTCTTGGGCAAATAACTTGCATGTCTCAGTTTGCTTCTCTGCAAAACAGGGAGAATCATACTTTCCCAGGTGATTATGAAGTAAACTGAATGTGGGAAGCTCTCAGGCCTTTCTGGCTGCCTTGGTCAGTAAAACTTTTAAAAACTAAACTTTGTGTTCACTTCAACTGAAGCTTACTAAGTGCCTATCCTGGGATTCTTAGTCACAGCTTCAAGAAAGGAACTGGCCTGAGGGCTCTTCAGAGGAGTCACTGGCTGCCAAGAGGGAGGAGAGGGGACATTATATGTGTCAGGTAGGCAGGCTAAGCCCAAGATGGCTGAAGACACTTTGGGGACTCCTGAGCATCTTGGAGAGCAAAGGATACCCCTGAACTGGGAGGATGCTGTCTAAGGACTGGGGCCTGTGATCCTGCTTCTCAGCAGGAAGAAAGGTGGGAATTGGGCTCAGCCACATTTTAATGTGCTCCTGTTGGCAGATCTAGTCCAAATCCAGCTTCTGGCACCATGAATGGTTTCTGCCTCTGAATCATGACTTCTGTGATTAAATCTAACTCTCTAACATGATAACTTCAGGTGTGTTCTGCTAAGATATACATACCTACAGGGCAGAACCTGTGACTTGTGTGTCTCTCTGAAGGCGGAAGACAGTGCATTGAAAAGTCTGTAGCATCAGGATGAATCAAAGTCAGATTCATCCATTTACACCACTTACACAAATTCCAGTTTGAGCAGGTTATTGGACTTCTCAGTGGTCCTCCATCTACAGATCCAGGGTCATACTTACCTTGAAGATGGTAGACGTATAAGGAACATAGTAGGTAGTCGGTGAATGATGGTGACAATGAAGGTCATTATCCAAACCTCTGGAGAACCCTGCCTCAAGGACTGCTGTTGCTGCCATTAGGCTGCATTGAGTTACTAGGCTGCTTTCTTAAGCTCGAGCATCAAAAGGGGTGCCATTGTGGTCCCCACTGAAGGACTACCACCTGTACACTCACCACCCACCACCACCTTTTCTTTACTGTTTTACTCATCCTACAAGGGCTTGTTCTCCTTACTACAAAGCTATGTCCCCCCTTTCCTTGAAAACTCAGTTCTCCAGAAAGCCCCATCTTATTTGATGAATATTTTCCCCACATGTTCCAAATGCAAGTATGCACATAGGCACACCTGCCACGAAAAGTGCTTTGATTTTGGAGTAGATGGGCCTGAGTTCAAATCCTAGCTCTGTTGTTTTCAGTTAGTAGAGACCTCTCTGAGGCTTGGTCTCCTCATCTGTACAATAGAGACACTATTGATATAATGTCTCCCTTAAAAGGTAAGATGAGTACCAGCACTCAGTAAGTAGTCTTCCCCATATGTTTTCATTTGCACATTGATTTTCTCCAGGAGTTCTCAGGCTCCTCTGTGTGTGTGTGTAGATGAGCGTGTGAGTGTGTACAGGCCTCTCTCCTCTAGAACAGGCTGGAGTGGTCATCAGGACTGAGCTAGACTTTGTCATGCTGATCCTCAAAATCTAGCAGACATGGTGAGAGGAGTGAGAGATCAGAAGGCAGGGGCCCTAGGAATGTCAATGGAAGTGGTCAAGCACGGCAAGGAACAACTGGAAACTTCCTGGGAGAGGGTCAGGGTACTGACCCCAGGGGAAATTGGTCAAGGAAAGAGTACTGACCCCAGGGGAAATTGGTCAAGGAAAGAGCCTAAGTACACTCAGATAGGGGAGGCAGGAATGTGGCTCCCGAAAACCAAGAAAGGGACAGCTGAGGAGAGAACAGAAAATCTCACCTTGGTCCCCATATTTGGGGTGAAGTGATGCTGGGAGTGCCCAGGCCTGATGCCCCCACCCCTGGTGGTCATGGCCACAGGCCTGAGTCCCATCTGTCCCCTCTATCCTCCTCACCTCTTTCAAGTTGAACCTCATGTGATGACAAAGGATGTGGAAAGGGGGCTGTGTGCCTCTCCCCTGAGGATGGTAGCCTTTCACCCAAGAGGCTTGGAAGAACCTGGGGTAGCCAAACTGGTAGCGGGTGGGAAGGGCGAAGCGCAGCCCGTGCTGGTCCCCATAGCGATGAAGCAAGTTCAGCACAGAGCTGCTTCCAGATTTATGAGTCTTCAGGAACACAAGGTGCTTTCGGGGTGAGCAGGACAGAACAGCTGGTCCTGGGGGTGGGGCCCAGGGTTGCAGGAGCTGCAGCCCTGGCAGCCTGGAGAGAGATGAGAGAGGACATGTCTGGTCCTCACCAGCAGGTGGCTGTAGATCTTCTGGTGCAAGGAGAGAGTATGAGTCTCCACTGAGTCCCCAAGAGTCACAAGCCCAGGATAGAATGGGAACAAGCGGGGGGGGG